TCCAGACTGAGTCGCCCATCCGGGCTGTTCCCGTGACTGTCCGGCTTTTGGATTTGTCCATCAGCACGACAGTAAGTGTCACCTGCGAGCGTTAGGCAGATAAATCATGCTAAAAACGAATCTCCAATCAGGAAAGGCAGCATAAGTGTGAGCGGAGTTGCTGCTGTCCCAGGATCGGCACGGGCATCGGCTGTAGGCTCGAAGACCTCAAAGTCGCCAGAAAACTCGACAGTGTCACCATCCCTCACGCCGGCACCTGCGATAGTTAGATCCGGGTACAGGCGCTCCCTGTAGGCTTCACCACCCTGCCGTCGGAAGACGTATCCACCCTGGGATCGGCTGGAGGTCGTTAACGATGCCATGCCCACGAGTAGTCCAAACTTCCAGACTGAGTCGCCCCTCCTTGCCCTTCCAGTGACTGTCTTGCTCTTGGACTTGTCCATCAGTACGACGGAAAGGGTCACCTTTTGGCAAGAGGCGGCAATATTGCCAGGAGTTTTTCAAACTTTATTTCGTGAAGTCGTTGAGAGAGGTTCGTCAGAAATTTGCGAACGAGATGGGCAAGAAACAGGCGGATAGGCTTCTGCGAAAATTTCGTGGGCTGAGGGGCTTTGCAAAAAGTGGGAGAGTTTACAGAGCGGGGTCAGACAGCGCCTCCTGCTCCAAACAGAGCGCCGCCTCACTAAAAACGTCAAAGCCCCTCAGGAAACAATCACAAGACAGCTCACTAGGAAACCACTCATGTTTCAGCATACATCCTACTGATTCCAGCCTTGGAAGCCGCGCTAGCTAGGATGACACAACCCGCTCGCGAAGCTTCTCACAAAGCTGATCACCAACTTCTCGCAAAGGAGTCACTAGATGATTGTTTGCTACTCTCTCCAAGCTGTACCGGATGTGAAGGTCACAATAGCAGCACCTCGCGGCCAAGCACTTCAAGAGGACTTGAGATGGATCGATGATCTATGAGCTGATCTGTGAGTGTGCCTCAGCATCGGAGCTCGGGAGATCTCGACTGGAGAAGTCGCCCTCGAACGCGATTAGCAGCAGCTCCTGCTCTTGGGTGAAGCCGACTCCGAACACTTCTGCAAAGGTGAGCGAAGGATGTTCCAGGCTCTTCCAGCGCTTTCCTTGGAAGGAGAAAATGTAGCCTCCGGTGAGTGTGGTCAACTTCTCCATTCCCAAAGATATGCCAAGATCCCACACGCAGGCCTCTGGGAGCACTGATCCAAACTCCTTCGTTGATTTGCTTCTGTCCATCAATTGGACCTCGAGAAGGAGCGGTGTGCCTGCAGACTTGTCGAAGTCACCGGAAAACTCGACAACACTCCCCTCCTTTACTCCAACATCACTCAGTCTGAGGTTGGGATATACGAGACTGCTCCACTTCCGCCCAGCGTGCGTGAAGAGGTATCCGCGGCCATTCAGAGTGGATAGCTCCAGCATGCCAACTTCCCGGCCAAGGTGCCAGACGGACAGGTATTCGATGCCCTGCCAAGCTTTCTCCTTAGTTCGGCTCCTGTCCACGAGCCTTACAGTTAAACTTACAAGGCCTGGCGCGGCCATGGCGTTTTAAGGGGGGCTCGGCCTGGGCCTCGGCCTCTCCCTTCTACACTCCGAAGTTTGAGCATTCTGCAGCGGTAAGCCAGGACAGAGCCATCCCTTCTGCATCCTCTAGCTTGCCTTCTGCGGTATGGCTCTCTTTCCGCGGAATAGCATGGTGGTGGGGCCCACTGTCGAAAGCATTCTGCTTGCGGGGCGCTTTGAGCATGTCGGGGTGCTGAGCTCTGTACTTTGCACAGAGCCAAAGCTGACTCCCAAGCTCAGCTTGGGGAGACATCCAAATTACTCGAAGGCTTGTGCAGAAGGCCAAGGCTTCTTCATGCAAAGGGAGCTCCAGGGTGCTACTAACGTTTCCTAAGTGTCCTCACTCTTCTTTGGGCTCCGGTGGGACCTCGACCGCAAACTCAACCCAGTCTCCGCTCTTAACGGCGGTCGCAGCAAGCGTGAGGTTGGGATACTGCTTGCTCCTCCAGGTGGGACCTCCGTCTTTCCGGAAGGTGTAGCCACATCCTGGAAGGATCTGGGCCTCCAGTGTCCGCAGGCCCAAGAGCTCCCCGAAGAGCCACACGGAAGTCAGGGCGGAAGCTTTTCCAAATCTCTGGCGGCTCACTTTGTCTGCCAGGGTAACATTCAAATAGACCTCGGGATGTACCGCATGTTAGAAGCAGAGTGATCTTGCAATTACTCTGTGCTCTGCTACACAGCACGTTAGCCTAGCTAGCATCATAAATGAGGGTGGCATTTCACATCAAGCAGGCAGCGACGGACTCGAAGTCACCGGCAAAGGTCACCGTCTCACCATCCTGGACGCCTGCTGCGGCCAAAGTCAGAGACTGGTGCTGATTGGGCCCATTGCTGAGCCAAGTCTGCCCGGCATACGTAAACAGGTATCCATGCAATGTCGCCAAATGGTCCATACCCACAGATACACCGAAGTCCCAGACGCAGGTTTCCAGTGAAGCCCTGCCGACGCATTCGCGCTGTCGCTTCTTGTGATCGATCAGCGTGACCCGAATCTGGGCTTTTGGAGCTGCGGAGGGTGCAGTGGGGGCTGAAGGAACGTCAGTGTCACCTGTTATTTTGCTCTCGCTTGTTGCGCTTGTTTCTTTTTTGGTGCCGTCGGGCGTCCTCACACCCCTCGAGCCCTCTGGCGTTCTCACAGCCCTCGCACCCTCCTTCGGGGAATCCTTGACGCTGGCGTCTTTTTGCGTGCTCCCGGGCGTTCCCACACCCCTCGAGCCGGGCCGCGTGCCCTCCTTCGGGGAATCCTTGCCCCCGCCATCTCTGCTGCCGTTAGCAGTGCTGGCCCGGCTTCTCCCGGCTTCGCCGTCGCTAACGGAGTCGAGTGGCTGAGGCTCGTCGCCTGTCACCGGCTCAAAGTCACCCGCAAACTCCACCAAGTCACCATCGTGGACACCAGCTGCGCTCAGAGTCAGAGCAGTGTGCTGGTGGCTCCGCCACGTCTTCCCGGCGTGAGAGAACACGTAGCCATGAAGAGCAGCCAAGTCGCGCATCCCCACAGATGTGCCAAACTCCCAGACCTTCCAGATCATGCGCGTGGGTATGCGCCCTAGCTCTGAACATCTCTTCGAAGATTCTAGCGACCCTAAGAATCCAAACTTCACCGAACAGGAAGAGACGGATGTAAAGTTGTTAATTGTCCATACTATGTCAAGAGATGCCAAGAAGCCGTAGAATTGAGGAGGGTTGTGCCCATCCGCTCCCAGCTCTTTCCCTCATCGTGGAGCGTTGCTCGGAGCTTCAGGTTCTGCTGGGACATGGCACCGGATCAGAACGGCCGGGAAGGGCCCACTTAGTAAGCCAGAGCGTGGAGCTTCAGTGCTGGGCCTCTCAGCTCACTTCGACGAGGCTCTCAAGGTGGGGATGAGGGTAACTTGGGCTGCGGAGGTAGCATTGCATCTCTACCACAGGCGTCTTGGGAGAAACGGCCGCGGTGCACATGCGAACAAACCAGCAACGTGATGTGAACCACGTTTCAGACTCAAGCTGGGTCGGCGACCTTGAAGCGCGGGCGAACGCGAAGGCCCCGTTTCAGGGCACTGCCGAGCTTGCATCTGAGGCTCGATCGAGATGCGGCACTTGCCGTAGGTCCGTAGGTTCCTGGTAAGCCTGGTTTTCAACTTCCTCCGGGTAGATTAGGTGATTAGGCTCTTCAACCCATGTGACGTGCTCAAATAGCAAACCAAAGCCGGTAATGGGGCGGGTTGTCGTGCTAGGGTCTCTCTTCCCTCCGTGTATGTTCCCGTGCCCGCTGCTGAGCCGTCGCCACAGGATTCCGAAGCACTGAAACTCGGCCACTGCCACACGAACAGAATCCTGTCGATGGTCTGCAACCTATGCCCACCTTGACACGCAAAACATAAACTCTGCAATTTCACTGGGGAGGGCCCAGCACCCGCCGTGTCGGAGCTGACAACCACACCAATCTGGCAAAGGTCTAAATCGTAGCTTCGTGCAAGTGTGGAGACGACGCCGTGCAGCGTTCCACGGCCAAAGATGCTCAAAGCCAATCTGGATCCTGCAGCGCTGGCCTTGAATCCGTCCAGCGGCAATCCACCACCAAAGGCTGAACCCCTCCACCTCAGCAAAGGTGTAGAAGTCTAGAGGGTGTGTGTGTGTGTGTGCGCCAGGGGCTGAGCATACGCTTCAAGGTTCCAGGGGTTTACGGGTGTCTGCTGCTTGGCTTCTGGAGCTGCTAAATAGCCTGCAGTTGCCAAGCTGCCAAACCAGCAAAAGCATCCGAGCTGAGTACATGCGTGGTGCAACTGGCCAAAACACCGCAAGTACCGACACAAGAGCCAGGTCGTTATTGCTTGGTGTGATAGTGCAAAACGGCTGGAAAAGAGACCGACAAACCGATGGACAAGCTCCCAAATGTCCAATTGCGCCATGTCCAAAGTGCCCTTTGCACCGCAAGTACTGATGTAAAAAGCAATTCGATGCAGCATGCCAGGCGCCAAAAACTCGAGTTTTGTCCTTCCGCATCAAAGACGCCTCATGCCAACGGCAAAAACAACTAGCGTAATAAGTAATAAGTAATGACTCAGCTTTTGAAATTCTGAGATAGCAACATGCTGCACCGTTGAAGACTGCAGAGGCAGCGGCTGAAGGTCCGCACAAGTACCATCGAAGAGTGAAACCTGCGATTGCAGCTCAAGGGAAGCACTGTAACAGAGCCTTGTGGCATGTAAGTCTCTGGTGGAAATGCGGTTATAGCAGAAGAGATACTGCACAAAACAAAGCGCTTGATGGGCATGTTCCTTTTGGTAAACCAGCTTGGAAGCCTGACAAGTTCCTGGCTCATGCTTCTTTCCATACCTATCATAGTGCTGTTTCCCGAAAAACTCTCCGCTGTCTATCTACTTGCACTGTAACTATCATGATTGGTGCGATGAGTTCGAGCATGCCGTCCAGCTGCTGCTACTCCGACCCTGACGACCTACTGCTGTTACTGGTACTGCTGGTGCTTGCTGCTTGTGCTGCCGCTACCACCACTACCAACAACAGCAGCAGCACTACCACCACCAGCGCCAAAACCACAACTAACACCATGACGATAAAGACCACTGATACCACTATCCCGACAACGACGACTACGGATACCACTCGCACCACTTGCGAAGCAAGATTACCAAGATGATCTAGTTTACCCCCCCAAGAAAAATCATCGCCAAGCAAGTTTACATGCACGTAAACCCTGCACACCCTGAAGCGATGCACGCGCCGGGCGCGCGTAACCCTAAACCCTAATCCCCAATTGAGAACCCTAAAGCCATAAACCTACAACCCTAAAGCCCTAAGCCGCGTCCCCTAAACCCAAAACCCAAGCCCCTAAACCCTGAGCCGAAGCGCACGCCGGGCGCGCCCCTAAACTCTAAACCCTACCCTGCCCTACCCTACCGGATTTGGAACCGGGTGGTTGGTATTCTTGGTAATTCTGGTAATCTTTGTCAGCAAGTGCTGCAAATGGTCCAAGATTACCGAGATGACGCCCCCCTCCCCCCGCCAAAACAAATCTAGAAAGGCAAAATCACGAAAATGACCCAGATAAGCACGGTCATCTTGCCCTGCATCCGCCAAAATGACCAAAACCAACAAGATCATTAAAATGACTTTAAGCATTAGCCGTTCTCGATTCCCGGCAAAACGTGCTACTGCTACTGCTACTGCTACTGCTACTTCTACTGCTGCTGCTGCCGCTGCTACTACTGCTACTACTACTAGTACTACTACTACTACTACTACTACTACTACCACTACTACTACTACCACCACCACCACTACCACCACTAGTACTACTACTACTACTAATCATCTTCTTCTGCTACTACTACTACTACTGCTGCTGCTGCTGCTACTACTACTACTACTACGACTACTACTACTACTACTACTACTACTACTATTGCTGCTGCTGCTACTGCTGCTGCTGCTACTGTTGCTGCTACTACTTCTTCTAGTAAGTGCCACTACTACTACTGCTACTTCTACTAGTAAGTGCTGCTTCTACTACTACCACTACTACTACGACGACTACTGCTGCTGCCGCTGCTCCTCCTCGTCCTCCTCCTCCTGCTGCTGCTGCTACTTCAACTAAGCTGCTACTACTACTACTACAACAACAACTACTACTACTACTACTACTAGTACTACTACTACTACTACTACTACGACTACTACTACTACTACCACTACGACGACGACGACGACGACTGCTACTACGACTACTGCTACAACGACTGCGACTACTACTCCTACTACAACCACTACAAGAACTTCTACCACCTTTCTTCCTTTCCCACGGCGC